AAAAAATGTTTTTTTAGTAGGCTGGTGTATTTCTTCACCTGTGTGACTAATTAGGTTTCAGGAGAATACCAGAAAAGAAATTTAATTCCAGTGTTCTTGGCACTCTTTAGTGTTTTTGCTCACTTTCTTTGGATGGTATTGGAAAATCAAAATCCAATTTCATCTGCTTAATGAATTTTGTCTTTAGCTTCCTAGTTGTGCAGTGGTTTTGGGTCATAGATACAGGAGAATATTTGCTCTTAAGAGCTTTTATGAAATTTTCCAGTGTCGAAATGTTTCTAAAAGTTAACAGTTTTGGGCGGAGGAGAAAAGAGTCAAATATAAGTTGAACCCACTTTTATTTGTGTATTTAATGTTTCCTGACCATGTAATTTTCTTTTTCGCTTGTATGTGGAAGTCTTGCTACGTTTTCAAGCCTACGCGTTAGCAGCAAGGGGTAGTCTGCCGCCAGAGATGTCCGAGGAAAGAATGTTGTTTGAAGACCAGCACCCCAAAGAGAGAAAAAAGAGAGAAACTATGAAAGGGGATTATTTGTGATCCTTCCTGAAAGGAATTTGGCAAAGCCGAGGAAGTTTATCAAATACAAATCATGAAGGATGAGGAATTAGATATATCTATGGCCTCGTTCTTCGTTTTGCTGTTTCCTGTATCCCCACAAACGCTCCGTCCTTCCCCTACCATTCCGCTTGACAACATCCAATAGAGATACTGTATTGGTAGTCCTAAGTAGGCAGTCTGTGTAATCAATGCCAATTCAGTTGCTGGATTTAAAAAAAAAAAAAAAAAGGAAAAACAGAAAAAATGTATTTGGAGTTATGTTCCAGTGAACTTAAAAAAATATACATTTTTCAAAGACAAGTATATATAAAAATATTTCAAAGACAAAGTGCTTGAGTTGCTAAACTGATGGTAGTAATGTCTCCCTTTTTTCCAGTACCCTGAGGTTTGTGATTCTTAGGAAGGATGAAAGAGCTCCAGAGTCAATTTTTTACTATTCTTGAAGTAACAGGCATCATATCTTCTAACTTGGAAGAAAATGTCCTGCTCCTACCTATCGTACAGTCCGTGAATTCCATTCAGTCTTTCTAGTTAAAAATTTTCACTTTTAGTAAAATACACAGCTATTTTTTACAGGCAGAGCTAGATTTCCCAGGACAATCATCTGAAAGCAAGAAGTGGACTGCTGCACTGGTAACAATGAACACTTGTCGTATTCTGTTTCATTTTGTATACGGAATTTTTTTTGAGACCTCTGAATCCTGAAATATCTTAGATTGGCCTTGAGTGAAAGGGTTAGTCTGAGTTCAGGAAAGGGAAGGAGGAAATTCAATTCAATGTGTGCTTGTTTCAACATCCTGAGTGATTTTCTGAATCACTGAGAAAGTTACTACCACTTCTATTTTATTTTTTCAATCAATATTTGGAAATTTTAACTTTGAGAAACATGACCCAAACTAATTTAAAGAACCTTGAAGGGTGAAGGGCTAAAGCTGTGCATTTTTGACAAAGAAGTTAGTATACCAAAAAGGGAGAAGCAACTTTTGCCAGACTTCTAATCGTCAACCCTGCAGAGCTCTTCCCAATTTTATGAGGGACAAGTGCTGAAAGAATCTAGCATTGAAACGTGCATGAACTTATAGATTATTTCCACATATGCATAAATCAAAGAGGTCGGAGAGTGAGCCCTATCTTTCTATGGAATCAAGCACCGCACGCTTGTATCCAGAGTTGTACATCGTGTTATACACTAAGTCTGTCTAGATGGTAGGAGATATTCTAGCCTTAATGATCCATTTATTTTTCCCATTATTCGTGCTAAATTTGTGGCCTTTGTGTTGACCTTTTAAAAACAGAAGAGATCACATCTATACGAAATGCATTGAAGTAATAAGTGGAAGGAAAAAAAAAAAAAAAGAGGAGGAAGGGAAAAAGCTAGCAGAACATGTGTTTAAAGAGCATGAAATTATGTGCACTTTTCCTTGTCACCTGCAAGGAGTAGGAGCCCCTAAGATGCTGCTAGGTCTGCTGACCTTTCCGGGATCCACAATGCTTTGGAAGATCCTGATACGGAGTGAAGAATGAAATACAGAACGGAAATTTGTTTTCTTTCAATGGGAAGTTACTCCTGCTCATCCCTAGTACCCAAGGGGGGACCAGGGTTCTCAAAAAATGTGTTGAGGAGCGGAAAAGAATGGAGCGAGGTGATATTGCAAAGAGGCGGCCTTTGGTCTCTTTAGAGATGCTGCTGTTCTGCAGCACCAACTGATTCTGGCTGTTCTTAGTTCCCTTTACTGGGAACTTGAACTTGTTTAAAACAAAACTCCTCCTTCAAATGAGAAGAAAAGAGAATCAGTTTGGCGCATATGATTTTTATCTGTCTTTCCTACTTTTCAAACTCGCGTCTCAGAAATGTCAGTGAGCAGAGCAGGGCCATGGTGAGGCAGAAGGCGTTGAAGAGAACAGAGGAGGCTTGGACGCTGTTCCTGCTCCTTTATTGGCATGCTGCATGGTCTTGGGGAAACCAGTCCCCTGTCTCTATTTTCTTCCTATACAAAACAGGAAGAAATAAATTTTACACTGGATGTGGATTGCGGACAGGTTTACTGATGGAAAGTACTGCATAAGAACTAGTTAGCACATCAGTGACTGCATGAATGCTACTGAATCTGTAATGCTTTTTCTTCGTCTCAGAGTCAGTTTGGGACACAGAGGAAAAATAACTGATTTCTTCATTTTTCATGGCTTTCCCTAGCATCCAGAACCCCAGGCCACTGATGGTATGCTGCAGATGCTTTTCACAGATCCAATTAAGGGTTAACGAAGTAACGGGGCCTCTTGCAAACGTCCCACTGTGCTCCTGAAACTGAAATTTCATTCCTTGTAGTGATCTGTATAGCCTTGCACTTTGCCTTAGGAAAATAATTTAAAAAGGAGAGCTTTAAGAACTTTGGAAAGAAGAGAGGTAATATTAACATTAAATTCTTACTAACATGCAGTGCTCAATATATAGCTAAAGGCCTAATGGTATTTAATGTGCGGCTTCTAAGGAGTATGTGTAATTCTCCTAAGATGTATTGTGAACTGTAAGAAGAAGAGGTATGACTTTTCACAAATATTTTCACTGAGATTGTTTCAAGTCAGTTAAAATTGCCTTTGAGAGTAGAGTTGCACTAAGAAGAGAGAGGAGAGAAGAAAAAAAGAAACCCCAAAACAGGGTCCTGCTCGGTCTAGAGTTTCAGGAAAGAGAGGAAAAGGTCTAGTTATCCACAGCCAGATGCATTGTTAAAAGTTCATACTATCACTTTGACATTTAGAGTAGGACTCAGTGTCTTTGTAAATTCCTCTTCGTATTACCAGTGTAGGTCTCTGAGCTCAGACCATTTCACAAACCATAACATTTTTTAGTGAGTGATTGATCTGTATTATGTGTCCTCGCCATCAGAAGAATCTTGGGATGTTGCTTGTATAAACTGTAATACAATCTGATCCTGGGCGTTTAGTTACAGACTTTCATAGACCTATTGGCGATACTCAATCCTCCTGGATTTGGGAATAGGGCTTATCTGACACCGTTTGAAGAAGAAAAAAAAAAAAAAGCCCCTCATTTTCTCTGTTCCCCACTTAAATAACTCAACACATCTGGTAACACTGTAGGATCATTGTCCTTTCAGTTCCTCTGCAGCTCATGTTGCTACAATATTTCTTAGGTATCTAGTTTCCTAAAGGGCAACATGATTTTTTTTAGGCTGTTTTTATAGGTCTTGCAAATTAACCCATATGCATTGCAAGAAAAAACATGACTTTTAATCAGCACCATTTCTAAAGTTAGTGCTTGTTCTGTGTATATGAATATGTATATGAACCAGTATTTAAAAAAAAAAAAAACTTTCTGCCAGCACTTAAAACTAGCATACAAATGTGTTTTTATTATCAAATAAAATATGCTTAAAATGTTAAGATATCTTTCTGTTAGGGGTTTTATCATTTCACTTTGGTCTTCAGCTACAAGAATGATGAAAAGTGAAACTAAATCTTTTAATTCAATAAGAACTAGGCTGAATTTTTAGGAAGCAAAAAGGGGAATCAGATATAGAATCATATGCATAGGAAATTAAACATTCAAGAAATTAAAACTTTCTGAGCAACTGAAGGGGTAGCCTTAAGGAGTGCTTATTTGAAATGGCTGCATTTAATTTCACAATAGATCTGAGTATTTTGTTCCAATTAAGGCGGTTCATGTGCGTGGCTCTAAATTGTGCAGTAGTTCCAGGGAGACCATGGAATGCTTGTTTTACATTCTGGATCGAGTTCAGCTTTTCAGGCTTCACTTGAATAAAATAAAAAGTCTGAACCCTGAAGATAATACAGATTGATAAATCTGATTTAAACATTCCCGTGTTGCAGACTTCCAGTGTATGTGGTACAGCTGAGCCTCAGGCCATGCGCTAAATACATCCACAGTGCATTCCCAGAACACGCGAATGCCAAATGATCACATTTGAAAGGTTGCCTTTCTATGGATTTTGACTTTTCCATATTAGCCGCAAAGATTAGAACGTTAACAGCTCCCAGTGAGAGGTATTGTGAAGTATTTACTTGGCAGGAAAAAAACAAAACAAAACAGAAAACCCAGAAGAGCTGCTGTCTCATATTCATGGAGTGGGATTTATTAGCTCTGTGAATATCCTTCTGGGAATACACTCCAAAGTTCACACTTTAATAAAAAAAAAAAATAAAAAAAATCTTGTTTTTCATTTATATTAACTTAAAACTTTGATAGAAAGAAGCAATACTTTATTGGAGGCTCTAGCAGGGAGACAGATCCGCTAGTGCTAGAGAATATCCCCGTGACTCCTGCAGCCTTTGACAGTTCGCCTTCCACAACGAAAGTCAGCGAACCACCTATGCTCCCTGCAAAACTGGCAGTAGCTTTGTTGGTAGATTTGGTGGTAATTAAACATGTAAGGTTCTTTTCTTTTTTTCTTTGTTTTTTCTTTTACAGGTTGTGGAACTCATATCGAGTGCTATTGGTGACTTGGTGCAAGGTATATACTATGAAAACTCAAAATTGTCTGAGGTAAGAATTTCAGTTATTTAAGTTAATGTGTGATTGCAATATACATAATGACTTCCTCATTTGTTTGAAAGGCAAAGGGAGAGGGAGGAAGAGCGTTAACTGCAGTCCTAGTGAGTCTCAGCGGTAACATCTTGCACACCTGTGAGCTCGGGCAGTCTCTAGAAATGCTCAAAGAGGCACTGTTTTGTTTCTGTGAGTGCTTAATAATATAATGTGTCATTACTAAGGGCGCTAAACGTATTTTTGCTAAGGGCTTTCTGAACGCTTCTAGAGGTTCCTAGTCAAGGGTCCGTTAAAGCAATTTATTATAATATTGTCAGCATCATTAATTATCTACATGTGAAATGTCTCCTTTCTAAGCTGTAACTGCCCAAAGATACTTACAAAATGTTTCAGCTCAAACTTGGATCAGGTTCCTCCTTCTTCTGGGCATCACACCTTTTCATGGTTGAAAGGGCGGTTTTGTTCAGAAGGGGCAGCAGTGCGGTACTGCGTTCGTCTCCGCATCGATCAGACTAGAATTAAGTATTTTTGTCTCTAATGGGACTTTTGAGGAGGCTTTTGGAGATGCTTCTCCAGTTGAGTTTGCTTGGGCAGGATGTTAAAGCGAAATGAAGATCTGTGTTTCATTGGCTATGCTTGTATCTTAATGTGTGCAAAAAAAAAAAAATCCAAAATTTTGATTGAAAGTAGTCAGGGAGTGATCACGTCGATAGCTGAGCTCCTCGCTCTGCGGAAGTGCTAAGCTCCAGCGGGAGAGCGGTAATGGCTTGCCTGGGAAAAGCCGCTGGCAAGTGTGCTCCTCGGTCAGCACAGCTGCATGGAGAAGACGTCGCGGTCGGAGCCGTAGCTCGGCGCCTGCCGGGAAGGTCCTTCTGATGCAAGTGTGGGAGCACTGCCGTGCTGGGGATTTGCAGCGCTTCTGCACCTGCTGGCTTTACTCCGTGAATAAACAGCACTTCAGCCCTCGGGGTTGCACGCTAGTGCCGTGCGCAGGGTTATCTGTTAAAGTAAATGGCGGTTTTTTACATTTTTGCAAAGAACTTTTTACTATTGTATTTTCTGTAGCCAGGCAGGTTTCTGAAAACAAGCACATCTCAGATATGTTATATTCCAAACAGCAGCTGTTTTTTGTGTGTGGAAGTAAAGCTCTGCTAGTTTGTCTTAGCAATGAGACTGCCTCACCGTGACTCTGTAATCCTCTGTTAACCACGGCCCCTGTATAAATGAGAAACGTTGCGGACTCTTTTGGGTGCCTGCCATTGCAGAAGGTCTCGGTCGTCTTTTTCTTCGTTTGGCCGTGTGCTGAGCTGACGGCCCTGGCAAGGAACAATTATATCGTCTTAGAGCAGCTACAAAATTGTTCTGCTGCACTGAATGTGTGGGTAGCAGCGGAAGTGGGAGATACACTAAGCACAGCTGCACAGTGTTTACCCTACCCTGGCCCAATTGCAAATACAAAAGATTTATTTTATTTCATAATAGTCGGTGATCTTTTCTGTCTAACAAGAGCTGAAAGTATAGTAAGACCCTTCCTAAAAGGAACCCAGTTATTTCAACACAGTTAGTATGATGGCATAATAGATACTGAAAACTACGTGACAGTATCTGAAGTTTAGTTTTTATAACGGGTTGTATTTGGCTTCTGATGAGACCTGGAACAAACGAGTCTAGGATCTTTTGATCTTGTCCAATTCTTCTGATCTTGTCCTTTGAGAAATTTAAACATATCCCTGCTGCTTTCCTTACGCTATTCTGCTGAGGCAGTGCCCCATTTTGCATCTGTACATGTCCTGAACATCCCTTTAGTAAGGATTGCCAAATGGACTAAGTCAGTTATTAGTCTATGCTATTTGTGTCCTTTGTGCATCTTCCTTCCACGCCTAATTGCAAGTTGACCAAACCAAAATTTTGAACTAAATTTCTTAGACTTGAAACAAATGCTTTAATCTAGTCTGCAACTAAGTCCCAATGTCAAACTTTCTTTTTACTTGCAACAGTAGGACACAGAGACGTAAGGGCATTTTCATTGCTGAGACCCTCTTAAATTTAGAAAAGCAGATGTATATCTCTTTTTTTTTTTTTCCCCCCCCCCAGGAAAATTGTATTTCATTTGTTAAATATGCCTTTAACACAGATCTTATAAAGTACTCAGTGCCATAAAATAGACTATTTTCTTATTTAGCACTGAGTTGCTTTCAGCTTTGCTAATTGTCTACCTAGATGATTTTGTCTTTTACTTTAGACAAAAATAACTCAGCAAAATTCACCTTTCTCCTCTGAGACCCAAAGTTCATGTTTACCCAAAGAATTTTTTTCAGTTTGCTGCTTTTAGATGACCCTGTAGGAAAATTAAAAGTGGTATTTGCCCTGACAAGACTGGCCTTATTTATTCCTGAAGACATATAGTGGATATAATTATCTGACAGCTCTCATTAACAATTTTTTTTCCCCCTCTGTAAAGCTACATACAGTCTTATAGCCATCCCATTTTAGTACTTTCTGTTTGGTAATTCTTTGTCTTGTTTGAGTAGTGAGTCATTATATCCATGTGAAACAGGGAAAATAAAGATAATATTTAACTTTTTATCATTATTTGAAATCATATTCCAAACTGCTAAGTATAGGCTTTGGTAGGAAAGACAGCCTGAAGGTAAGGTTCTTAATAGTGTTCAAAGTAGCAAATAGCTGTTGTTTAAGTCATTTCATCTGTGGCTTAAGCTAATATTCTGGACTGTAAACTGGAGCAGAAGGAGTGATACGATAAGTTTTTGCTGCTTTGTGTGCTCAAACCCCTCTGTCAGAGCCCGTGATTGTGTGAGCAAAGGACATTCTTCCCAGTTCCCTTCTGTCTTTCCTAAACCTAGGTCTAATTTGGAAATAAAAGATTATGCCTTTTGGGAATGTGAAGACGGAAGTTGTCTAATACGGCCTTCAGTCATGATCGTGGTATCCAGTTTTCACTGAAAAACGGTGTTGAGTCTCCAGTTTCTGCTTTTTGGAGACTGAAGGCTTCTAAAATGTTTACTAACTAGCAGAACACTTTTGTACTTATAGAAACATACTGTCTTAGTACCCATGGGCATTTAACACGTATTAATGAAGAATGCTTTAAAATTCCCGTCCATTAACAGAATGTGGAAGAGATATATAGGGAAGTCCATGGTCAAGGAGCAGAATCGGGAGCAGAACTTAGGTGTGTTGGCTCTTGAGTTTTACCTGGCAGAGCATTCTGGTAATCTTAACAAATTATGGGTTTTCATGCAAAGTTGCACTGATTTTTTTTTGTTTTTTTTCCCCCCCCTCACCTCCAGCATATCCAGCTGATGCTAAAAGTGCATTACTCAAGTTTCATTTTTAGTATCAGAATGGGACTGTTAAGTAAGACTGAATACCATTTTTAGCATCTTCGACTCATGGTCAGAAGAGCTGTTGGCTATTTTTGAAGTTTTTGATAGGATTATTTGGAAATTTGGCTGAGTTAGTACGTAGAGCGAGCAACCATGCAAAAGAAACATATTAGTGGCAAGCGCTCGTTGCACCAAATGGTGAACTGAAAGATAGTTTAGGCCAATATAATTTCTAGAATGAAAACAAGTCTGTTTCCCGGCAAAGCACAGACTACATGCAGTGAGTTGCACCAGTTCTTCTTTGATGTTTGGTCACCAGTCCTGCTTTGAGGAATAAAAATGTTAAGAAATAGTATGTGCATCCATCAACTCAACTGCTATGTGATAAATAACAGATCTGCTTTCAAATTTTACCTTAGGAGGTAAATTAGATGCATTTTGAGTAAACTAAACCACCTTACAGCAGGGCAGCAGAGTAGTGCTCGCACTATTCTTAACAAATGTTTTTTGTTGCAAGACAAAAGGGATTAATGAAATGTTGAATTTGAGTAAAAAACATCTGTGAAAGGAATGAGTAAATGTGTCAGAGGAAGAAAAAACATAGCTAGAAAGAGGGCCAATGTTATTTGCTTACTGCTTTTGTTCTTAAAGTACTAAACTTTTTGCCAGACGTACTTTAAAGTAACAGATGTTGAGAGATACTTAAAATGAATATAATTTGTCAAGCATTTTTTAAAATCACATGCTGTTATTTACAATGTCATGATAAACTTATTAGGTACTCAAGGGCAGGCTTTATTGACCGTTTGCAGTCACCCTTGTTCCTGCAAAAGCACCGAAGGCATGTGTTAATAGACCAATAAAGCATGCCCTGTCATGTTCAGCAAGCAGAGAAGCATCTGTTTAAGGCTTCCATCCAGCAAGTGCAAGATGCTTTGCAAGGTAACTGTCTTGCTACTGTTAAGAGAGATCCGTAATTTTACTGTTTGTTCTGCATGTAGAATAGAAGTTGTTGAGCTATCTAATTGAAAACTTTAAAAAGCTAGAACTGTTTCAGAATATTTTAGTGCGTTTCTGTGGATTATTTGTCTGTTGAGAATCAAACTAAAGTTTGGTACATAAGTAGTGCAGAGAGTTTGATCATTTTTTACAAGAGCAGATGGCTAAGAAAGAGCTGCCATGATATTGAATTAGAATAAAGTCTCCCTTCCAAACTATATCTGAAGTTTTACATTGAAAAGCCCTCTGACCTCTTCTCTTTCCTAGTTTTGCAGATGATTTTGTGCACTTCAAAAAAACCCAAAAACTTTATAACACCTGTTTTACTGAATACCTTTGTAGTCGAACTGTGCATATAAGCGTCTTCTCTAGTGCGGCAAATTAAATTACGTGCCACTCTTGTAATGGGCATCCTTGTTAATGTGACTAATAAGAGCTACCCTTCTTGATGGTTATGAATGTATATTTTGCCCCATGATTTCATCTTCTAAAAGTTCTTTCCGTTTCCTATTGCCTGGGATGACTGTTGCAGACCAAATTTAAACTGCAGAAATAGCTTAACAGAAAAATCTCAGCTAGCCAATTTTTTTCTCACAAAACAGTTACTGAACTTGACGTTAGTAAAATGAGAGCACCTGTTCTTAGTTTTCCATTTGCAATTACTGCCTTGAAAAACTCATTTTTAGAACACTGATTCTTGTTGAATTGGAAAGCAGCAACACAATTTACTGCTTGAAGTTTTCTAGTCATTAAAGTAAATGAATTGTCAGAACGTTAACACATGGAAAGCTAACATGTTATTAGACTCTCGAGGACGGTTTTAGTTGAACATAACTTGCATAGGAAATGGTGATTGACTGAGCTGGATGCTGATGTCTTCCAGTGCTGGCCTCCCTGTGCTTCCATGCCAGCGTTCCCCAAACTGCATCCGGGATGGGCTTCTCTCGGGGTGAAGAGAGAGAGGTTCAATTCTGTTCATCCAGCTTCTCCTACGCAAACAACATCAGAGTTGTGATCTGGACCTGTTTCTTGGGAACAGGACTTCTTAATTAAACCACTCCATAGGCATTAGTTAATCAAACGTCTAAGCACTGTCAGCATAGGTTGAAACGGATTTGGGGATCTAACTTTCAAAGGCTTTTCTGTGAAAGGCCACTATGAGTCTTCTGGGCCAACTGATATCTACTTTCGTGATATCTATCCTTTGAAATACCCACTGCTGACCAAAAAACATTTGCAAAAAAAAAAGTGAAGCTTTTCATAAAAATAACATGCATGGGCATGACTTCAGATCTGCAATCTAGAGCTAGTTTCATTTTTCCCTTGACGTTTTAAAATAGTTTTTAGATCTTTGCTGTAAAAAGCATAGCGTAGCTGATGGGCAGTTATATAATGTGGGAGTTGCACTTGGGGGGAAAAAATGGCATTTGGGTTGTTGGAAAATTTCCCTGAAGAAGGGTTGTCTCTGTCTTTTTAACTAGCGGAAGCTTTTGAGGTATGTGGTCAGAAGACTTTCTGTGGTTAGAATCAGCTATATTTTTGGCTTGCAAGCTCATATGCTAATGCAGACCTGTATGGGGATAATTCCTTCTTAGAACTTCCTTCTTACTGTAACACACAGTTTTGCAGTACCTGCGTTTATAAGAATTCAATACTGTACCTTTGAGTATGTCTCTCAAATGTTTTTCTCTTTTTGAAGTCTGGTTTAGATGCTTCAAGATCTTATATGATCTTCATGTGATATTGATGCTTGTTACTCTCTTTCTATAGAAAACTAGTGAATCTTTGTTCAAAAAAAAAAAGTCCTGTGGATGTTAAGTCTTTTTTCATAAAATGATGTACTTTTTCAAATTATTAAAAAAAAAGATTCTTTTAATGTGAAGGGGGATCTCTAAAAGTTCAGCAAACCATACAGTTTAAGCAAACCTGGGTTTTTTGTAATTGACCTGAGTGCATCGTCAATTACTGGGTTTAAATAGTGGACGATAACTTGTCATGCCATTGCTTTTAATCATGTGATTAAATTTAAACTTGCTTAAGAAGAATAATTATATAAATTACTGCCAATTTTCAGTGTATCATCCAGCAAATTTTAGTAAATACCATCTTTTCTCTGAGCAGATTGGTTGTTAAGGAAAAGATTATGTTTCGTCTTCCAAGAGCTCCTGATTTTAATTTTAAAATAAATTGATCTATATCTGAGTGAAAAACGACTTGATGCGTAGGAAACTACTCGAATTAAATGCTCATTTTGACATTTTGCCAGTCATGGGAATTTGCACGTGCTCTGGGCTGAGTTAAGATATTAAAACAAAAATACTCCAGTAAAATGAAACATAAGGAAGTTCAGGCTTGACTTTGTAAGTTATCACATGCATAATAGCAAACATGTGGTTTTTCTGTTCTTCCTTTCCTTATATAAGTTAATAGTATGTCTGAAAGCAAAGGAATTTTGATACAACATTGTATTACTTGGCACTGCAGAATTCTCCTACTTTTTCCATTAGTCTCGCATTATCTTCTCCCTTGTAACGCAGCACTTCGGGGTGATATCCATAAGGGAGGAAGACTAGAGCTGAACGGATGGATTCTATTTCATTTGTTACCAATTTCATGATAGATAATACCTTGCCAGAAAACTACAGGGTCATACAGAATTAGTTCTTACTCATTTCTAAGCAATTTAATTGACATAACTTTGAGGGGAAAAGGCTAATTGTGTATGTTTTTTTTTTTTTTAATATTACTCCTTTAAAGAACACCATTTTGGCTTAATACATGCTATAGATTTGAATGAGCTGAGAAATTACAAACTATTTTTATCATTTACGTGCCTGAAATTTCTCTGCAGCTTCTCATTACTGATTTTTTTTTTCTAAACAAAAGAAATTTTGTAGCCTTTTCCATTTTTGTTTCTTCTCTTTAGAGAGTACCTAAAGGCATGACAGTTGTGTGTGTGTGAGAAAAGATTACAAGTCATGTCTAGCCTTGAAGACTGACACCATGTGAGCTGAAGGAGCTGCAGTTGAATTTGGGGTTGGGGAAAGGGGTTAGCTTCCTGTTAATTAAAACACATTTCAGCTTTGTTCAAAGTGATTCAAACTAATGTTTTGTATACCAAAGGATTTTGAGAAGTATTGAGCATCTTTGACCCTACAGTCAAGGTGAAAAAGTTCACTAGAAGCATCACTGAGATCTCTTGTCAGCCCTCTGGGAAACTTAATACTTGATCTTTCTAAAGCATAGTTTTATTTTAAACACTTTCAGTCTTTCCTGGTCCTTAACAATGAAGTGAAAGAGGTACCAGTCTTCCATTACTGCCCTCCGTTTTCCCAGTACAGTTCCATAAGCATTTTTAAATCCTTTTGTGATTTTAATTTTTTTCTTTACTGCAAAGCAGAAGTTGTAGTAACCCGGCAATGTCGTCCCCTATTTGTTTAGGATTAGGGTTTTTTTGTTTTTTTTTTTTTTTTTACTGATAAGGATCTTAAGTGCTGATGTACTCTGCTTTATTTTTTTCCCTCTCTAAAAACCTCAGTAGGAATACAACTGGCATGTTAATAATGATACAGGCATTAAGAAAAGGGTCTGTGTGAAATCTGTTAAGAGCTCCATATATTTTTGTGGATTTTTTTGAGCAGAAAACTAAAATGTTATTTGTGCTGCTAGCACTCTTAGGGGAATGTTTTTCTGCACCCACCCTTGAAGCATGCCCTTCATCTGGCCTTGGCACCCAGAGTTTTGTTACCTGCCGTGTATTGCATTTTCCTGGGCAGCATTGTTAACTTCCGCTATCTGATACAGCTGCAGTTTTGCTGTTTTCATTTTAGCCTTTGTTTCATTTTCAGGAGAACTGTCTTACAGATGATATTGGAATAGCAACTTGGAAAGAACAGGTTTTCCTCTCCCACAGTGCCCTGCTGGCAAAGAGCTGCCAGGCTGCAATGGAATTAGCAAAGCATAACGCAGAGATTCAGGACATGGCATTTCAGTACGGAAAGCACATGTCTATGAGTCACAAGGTATGCCTTTTCTTTTTTTCTAGGATCTTAAAAACGGAAAGACTTGTAAGAACTTCTCTGATGTGTTGGCTCCTAAGCTCTGTCCTGTGCTACTGCTGTGCCATAGCGTTTTTCCAGCAGGTCACTTGAGTTAAGAGATTTGTCCACTGCCTGATATGACAATGTTAGCAGAAACTGCTGGTACGAGGAGCGTTCATGAACTGGCAAAATCACGCTTTGAGCAGCATAGTTTACTTCATTCAGGGCTCTGTTAAAGGCCCGCTGGTGCATCTTCCTGTAGCAGCTTAAAACTTTACCTTCTCTGCTCTATTTTCTTCCTGAAGCCGCTATCCCAGTAGCAGGAGTTGCAGGAAGAAGCAGGTGTTGGATGTCTCGCGCAGAGGTTGGTACCGAGAGGCCCAGCTGTCTGCTGCAGCAGCAGATGAGGTTGAGGCATGAGCTGCAGTGGCTGAAGTCCTGGCATATGTTCCCTGCTGACAAATCTGCTGTGGAGACAGCTTCCAGAGCAGGGAGCTGAGGGATAAGGAGGGAGGAAATCAGATAAGGGCAGTAGCATCCTAGCCTACTGCAGCAGTAGGATTTCCCCCAGAGGCCCCTGGGCTCCCTCACACTGAAGCAAGGCAGCTGCTGCAAAAGGGCTGTGCAGGTTTGAGATCCCTGCTTGCCCTCTCTGGGAGGCCACTGACCCTGCACAGAGGTGCATCTATATTAGCGTTTCAAGTCGGATCAGGAGTGCCCCACTTACTGCACTTAGTTCTCATTATAGAGTGTCTCAGAGCTAGATTTCTTTCCCAGAGACTGAACTTTGAAGATATTCTCCAGCCATTAGAAGTCATTCAGTCCGCAGAGAGAGCTAGTCCAAAGGAAAACACATAACCATGTGGATATAGGGTCCCCAGTAGTCTGGTTTGTCCTACAGATCCACTCCTGTTGGATTGCAGTGCTTGTTAGTTTAGACGTATCCTGAGACCTCCCCATCCACGTCAGCTGGGTTGGTTTAGATAGTTTCTTGTTCCTCTAGGACAAGGAGGTGGTTTTATAAAGCACAGATTTACTGGCATAGGAGTACTACTGTATGCTATACTAGGTACAGCTATGCCAATAAACAGTTTCTAGTGCAGCCTATAGCCTTAACACTTTGTGTATACTTTAATATTTATCCATTCATGGTTGACTAATGTTACTGTGTATAAAAGATTACATGATTTTCATAGAAAGCTACTAGGTATAAAACATTTGCTTTGTCAGAAGGAGAATCTTGTGTCATCAACTTCCTCAGGTACTGTAAAGTAGAATGCATTACCATTCACAGCTTTAAAATGGGTCATCTCCCAGTCAAAGAGTGGATCGTTCTTTCCTTTATAATTTTGTTCACTTCCTTCCACTCAACAATTGCTTACCTGGCTGTCCCATCTCTTACCCGTCTCTGCCAGCTGTCCTTTACCTGTTCTTTGCAGATTGGCTATGTGCTTCTCTTCACCACAACTTTGGGCCACTGCAGTGCTTCCCCTTTCTTCCCTCCCTCCCTCAAAATTGTAGTGCAACCAATATACAACTGTCATTGCAGAAAGTGGCAGTTAGGTAGAGTGTCAGGGTGTGGACCTTGAATCGGTGGATGGATGGATACGTATGGGCTTTTTCTAGTATATGAAGAAAGATATTCTTTTCTTTCAGCTACATTCAGACCTTCAGCCATTTGTTAAAGAAAATCCTAGTGACAGTGTGGTCTTCAGTTTAAATTCTGCTCCTGCAGTCCTGCATCAGGAATTCCTTGGAAGAGAGGCGTGGATTAAACAGATTAGAGAGGTAAATTAAAACATTTTTTACAATTTCCTAGTTTTGCCATTTGAATCTCGCTTCCTGTCTATACTTTCAGTCTACAAAGAACTCGGAAGCTCACAACTGGGACAGGACAGTCTAGAGAGACTACCTGTGCTCTGCAGCGTTTACACATTTCTCTTTCATGCTTTCAAGAGAGGGGAAATGCCAGGCACAGACAAATGAGCTCTGTCAAACTTCAGTGTGGCAATGGAAGAGGTAACAAGCGGATTCATTGGCACAGAACATATGCCTGTTCCTCAGTACTCATGCAAAGTCCCATATATTAGCTTAAAACTGCTTTCACTGACAGCTTAAACCAAAGGTCTTTGCACCGCAGCGGTTGAACGAGAGACGCGTTTTCTTTTGCCAACTTTGATCGGGGAGCGGTAATTTTGGGCAAGGGGAAAAGAACTGGGGATCATGACTTCCTGGCCGCTACAGAAAGTTTTGTGAGATCTAGCTGGCCAGTGTCCTTGTTCTCAGTTCTTTGAATTCAGCTGTCTTTCCCTCTCTCTCCTAAATGAGAAAAGGGGTAAAAATTTGTGTAATGTAAAATATAAATAAAATATAAAAATTGTGTAATATAAATCTCTGTTTTACATAGCACAGTGGGGTTCAGAGTCAGGAGTAGTGCCCTGGGTGTTGCTGGAATTCAGATAGATAACTGTACAAGAGAGCAGGGGGAGAAAAGAGAAAAATCACCCCAAAATGCTACTCTGTCTTGTGGAGTTTCTGCTTCAGTTGGAGGTGTTTTGCCCGCCTAAAAGCTGTGATGAGTGCCCTTTGGAAATTCCTGCAATTTTTATACAGACTCTCCAGCAGAAAGACTGCAGCCTTCAATAGAAAGTTACTTCTGTGCAAGCATATTCATTCCAGAGCTGCTCCTTTCCTTTCTAGTTTGAATGCAGAGCTGGAGGGCAAAGGGTAGGGAAGGAGGGTTTCTGATGCCTTCTGCATTTCTGACTGCCAGGTTGCAGGCTGCATTCACATACTGCAGAATGGAGGCGTAGTTCCTTCTGGAGCGAAGGTTGTGGGAAATGCATGCAACATCCTTAACCTCACAGTGATGCAGAGGAGGGGGAAAAAAAAAATCTATCAAACCAAACTGAACTTCTGTCATTTTGAAATTAGGGACTGGTAATTTAATATATGACTAGGAATTTTGGAATTCTGCAGTCTCAGTACAAGGCTGATATGCGAGTTGAATGTAAATAGATTTGGATGATTGCGTTGGGGAATAATAATAGTATTACTACAGCACAGTTTATAAAAGCTTTGAAACAATTTCCCATCTGCGGAATCTAGAGGAGGCTGCAGAATTCCAGGAGTGCCGTCTGTCTGCCTCCTGATTCTTATGCCAAAAATGGGCATTACAGAAACAGTGAAGCAGTTCTCACTGAAAGAAAAAAAAAAAAAAATAGTTGCGTGCACTGTGCAAAAGTATCTACTGACCACTACTGTCGGTAAATACAAAGTGGAACGCGTAGTCAAAAAGCTTTTCTTGGCTTGTGTTGATTTAGAAAAGAAAGTTACCTTTCAGTAACTACAGGCTCTTTGAGATACCGTCTGCGGTCACATTCACTATGTGGCCTACAAAATAGTCCAAGCACTCAAGCCAGAGACTTCCTCATGTTGACAGTACTCGTAAGAGCACGCTCGTAAGCTGCCCTCTTCTGCAATGTTATTCATATGGTATAAATAGATAAAGCATGCAGCATACACTCGGTTTCTGTCAGCTGGAATTTTCTTGGTAGCTGAGTTATGACTAGACATGTGGAAATCGCATTATGAACCTCTAGTTACTGCTAAGTAATTTGGCTTCTGCTTTGAGTTTTTGCCCACATGAACATTCACACAGTGGGTTAAAGGCAGCATTTCCTCATGGCAGCTTGCTCCTCTTGGAGGAAGGTCTTGGAGTTCAAGAAAGCAAAAGGTGGAGAGCCCCGTTGCCCCAGCAGCCTTTGCCGTGGTATACTGGTCAGAAAGTATGTGGCTGGAACTTGGTGCCTGTCCTGCATATTTTACGGGCAGTCTCCAGAGACACCGTCAGGGATGCCTGAACTGTTGTGGAGTGCCCAGTGTTTGTGTGATTGTTTCACCAGAGCTCTCATGTCAGAGGTCCTGGTACTGTCGCTGTTCCCAAGGCAGCCTTTGAACGGAGGCAACTGTGTATGCACCTTTCTCCCGCTGAGATAAAGGCCTTTCAGAAAGGCTCCTTGTCTCTTCGTTTGGAAAGAGCAAAGCACATCGGCTATCCAGGCATAGGAAGTCACATCAACGCTGAATATATGTGTTTTAAAAAGAAAAGCTCCGAAAGACTAGCTTCTGATTTGGATGAAATTCAGAGATTGCCTTGAGAGGAACTTTAGTTGTGTACAGAAGACAGCCTTATCACAGGGGGAAAAAAAGATACAGAGATAGCTATGTTTTTGTGTGTGTGTACACATAAATATATACAAAGTATCAGCCACAAAAGCCTGAGTCTCTCATGTTCTCCTCAATGAGTTCACCACTAACCTTCCCCCCACCTTGTGCTTTTAAAACTAAAGTGAGCATTTGGCCAAGTGTCTTTTTTAAAAGGAATACGGGCTGGGGTAGGTTCCTGAAATAAATAAAAAGAGCTCCTAAACGGTTCCTAGGAAACACTGTAGTAGACAGGCAAGGAAATGCTGAATGCTGTTCTTGAGATAGAGTTGAAATAGATGTGGAATGCAGTCTCACTGAGCTTTTGCAAAGCCTTATATTCTTAAAACCTCGCAGATAATCCAGGATTGCAGGAAGGAAGATTTTATAGAGGTCAGAAGACAGAAGAATTTAGCCACTTACGGATACCTCTCACTAGAGAAGAGCCAAAATTCCCCAGCTTCGACAGGCATCTGACATCTAAGCAATGAGGCACAAGGGATCAAAGTCTGAGTGAAGAAACTAAGCAGAATCCTGCAAGAATAGGTCTAGAATCCAACTTAGTCTTCAGCGTTTGAAATAAAATAAAGGAAGTTGGAAACTAGAACTGTTCTCATCTAGGCCAGGGTAATCCACGTGCCTTTTGTCGTATAGTTGTGAGACTTCTCAGAAGAAGCAGGGCTAGAGGAAAAGCATTTATCAAATGCTTTACCAAGCATTTCTGAAGCGTAGGTTTTAAGAACGCATGTAAGAGGGACCCCCTCGTTTGAGAAAGAGGACTCAATCCTGGAAAATATCAGTCCTGAAAAACGGCTCCAAAAGGATTGTCTTAGGCCGTCCGCTTGTGGCCTGCTTATCTGATGCATTTTGAGTAATTTCCTGGGGGATTCATGGAGCCTTCTTCCTGGCAAGGTGAGTCGGTTTCACGCTACCTCACTTATTACTGAAGAATGTCACAGTAGTGGTCGTCTTCATTACTGGCACATGGCAATCTTTGGGGCTGAGGAGGAAGGCTGAGCTGAGCTGGCCGTTCACCTCTCTCGTATGCTGATAATCAGATGTTTTCCTTGAGGGCTAAGAGACCCGGCATTCTGAGGCTGAGCTCCCCAGCCAGGCAGTGAGGCATCTGCAGTAAGATCTGGGAAGTTATCTAAGTTGGACAAGAGCGTGTACCTTTTTGCAAGGCAGGCTTAATGCCTTTGAGGAAGTTAAACTAGACACAAAAGTCTGATGTAAAAGGAAAAAATCCATGTGCCTGAAATCGGGGTCAGTAAAAGTCAAAGAACAAACTATGGTGAGGATATAAGAAAGAGAAAAAAACCAAAGGGGTTGATTGTAGTAAAGAAGGCTTAGTAAACGGATTAGTTAAGTCTGTTGCTTGGAGAACTGCAATTGCAGTTTTGCAATTGCAATTCAAATGGTTAAGGGGAACAGAGCAAGAGGAAATACTCTTGCCATTTGTAACGTTCATTGTACGCAAGAGGAGGCATGCTGAGCGCACCTTTTCAGGTATTGCTAAGACTAAAAAGCATCTTCCTCAAACATGTTGGCAATTCTCTCATGCAGTGTGAATCTGCATATAGGCAATCATCTGTTAGAGAACATATTCCTGGTATGTTCTGATACACACTATAAATACTAAATACATTTCAAAGCAGCCATAAGATCCAACCAGTATGAATAAAAGTTGGCAAATCAAGAGATAAGAATACACAAACAAGGAAGTAATTATTGGCAGTGGTTTTGCTACTCCCAAGTGCTGTCAGGCTGTTTTCCTAATAGGCATTCCAGAAAAGCTTTTTTTTTTTTTTTTTTTTTTTTTTTTTAGTTAAGGAGAGTTTTGAAGTGATTTTGCAGATCAGTCTCCTTTCTCCTTCAACGAAATCAATTTTGTTATCTACTGCTTTCCTTCCTGTTCTGCTTGCTTAATTTCTCCTCAGTTCTTTTCTCTATTTTATTCTACCGCCCTTACAAAAGGTAATTTATATTCCAAATCTGTGGAGTCTCAGCAACGTCTCTTCAAAGCTAGGCTTACCACATAGCGTTCCTCTTTGGTGCAGGCCTCAGCTCTTCTGCTTATGGCAGTTGGCCACCTCCTCTTCTCAGATGCTTTCCTGGGACGGCACTTGAAGTGCCTGCAGAGGACATGGTGGTCCTCACCTACATCATTTCAGAAGATGCAAAGATGCATTCAGGAAGAACTGAGGTTCCCTTGTGGAGGCTAGAGGGAAAGAAGTAGTGGTGATTTCTTTTCTTTTCTTTTTTTTTTTTTTCCCCCCTTCCCCTACATGCCCAGAAAGGGAACAGCTTCATTTGGACAAGGTGATAATGATACAGCTGGATTTGGCCGTAGGAAAGGGCTTCAAATTGGCTAAGCAGGAACGCTCGGAGTCTGACATTTACTACCACTGGCTGAGAAAGACATAAACATGCTATTTTCTATGTAGCCTAGTGGCAAAACAGAGGAATTTGGACTGTGTACTTTTCTGCATCTGGGCAAGAACAACTTTTAGAAGTATTCATGCTTCTTTCTTAATATGTTAGGCGGTAAAGGTTGCATACAGTTACTGCTTAAGTAAAGGATGACACTGTATACTTAGATGCAATTGTAAACCCAAGGCGTAATTAGCATGTCTAATCTGGGTCTAATAGCTCTGATGTGGTCTTGACATCCTCTTGCAGAGGATTGGCTCTAGACATTTAACTGTGTGCGAATGACTGTAGACAAGGAGTAGTTCTCCTTTAAGAGGTGTCTTGATTTTTCTTAACTCCGTAATCCTGTTATTACTGATCTGAGGTATAGTTTATATTCAAAATCTCATGGGGGAGATTAATGCAAACAGTAAGATTTCCTATAATCAAAACATTTTGAATTGAACAAACTGTTTAACTAGAACTCATAATAAAAATCTTATGTTAGGTGTCTGGAGATCTCATCTGAAACAGAACTATGTTGTACAGGCTGGTAACGCTTTTGGTTGTGTTTTGGATTTTTTCCCATCAGATTTCTAAAGCAAATCAGTTATGTTTAAAATAATAGCTCTCTTAATGGCATTCTTTCTTTCTTTCTCTAGTTTTTAGTAGGTAACTTCTTACATAAAATCTCTCTTTCTCTTTAAGGCACAAGGAAAAGGAAGCATAATGGACTACAAGAAGGTTGGTTAATTACATTTAAATCTGCTTATTATTTTTAATGTTTCCTGTAATGCTTTCATGATTATTTTTGACAGTAGAAAGAAACTTCCGTATTAAAGTCAAATTATAATTTGTGCATGTGAATATGGAGGGAAGGAGAGTGACTTGTGCAATTTCTTGATTTTATTAAAGAGCCGGTAATGGTCAGCTATACCGTAAGTATCAGATAGAGCTGTTTTCTAATCATTTTTGCTGTTGTTCATCCCATTCACCTCCTCAAACTTTTAAGTTTTGAAACCAGGCTTTTGGTTGCTCTTGCTTTCTCTGTTGCTTCAGTCATTTGCAGGTTAGCTCTCCTCAGTGGTCTCCTTGTGTTGATAGAGTACACGGGTACTTTTCTGTCTTTCACATTAGTACCATGCCAGCTATTAAAAAAAAACAAAAACAAAAACAAAAAAAACAATTCTCTTCCTGCCATTTGGCTAATAATTTTTGTTTCTTCCAGTCCCCGTTACAGCTTTTAGCTAAGTCTCCACTGCTTTTGCTGCTGCGACTGCAGGAGGCTGTGGTATAGGTGTACCTGAGCTAACTAGCTCATGCGCTGAAAGCAGCTGAGGCAGCACAGAGCCCTGTGCGAGGTGCGGAGCGGGCTAGAGCCGCTCGCTAGCGCTGGGCACGGCTTACCCCCCGAGATGGAGACGGACGATGTGAGGTTGTGTCCCCTCGTCTCTCACTGAGCAGGAGGCCGAGTTGTGCAAGAGCTTAACTACATCATGAGGGTCCAGTTAATTATCTCCAGCATCGATGGGAGAATAATATATAAATTATTGAGCACATGCATGGTTCAGAGTTTCCTCTTGAGGTGGAGCCCAAAGAGCTTTCTAGCTGTGATTGCTTCTAGTGTGCAGGCTTAGCACATAGATGCAGGACGGAATACCATTATAACTATTCCCTATTTATCAAAAAAAAAAAAAAAAAAGTAATTTGGATCATTATCAAAAATCTCTCTCTTTCCAGCCTATTTGACCATAAAAAGTCTCACAGACTTAGCTTGCTATTTAAAATCTTTGTCCTTATCGGAGAGCAATATGTGTTTGTTCTCTACGGTGGGGAAAAAATGGTGCGTCTATGGCTTTCTAAATTGCCACTGAGAGCACTGAATTGTCTTTTTCTTCAAATATGTCTCAGCGTGTGAGACGCTTGTGTGAATGCTTAGGCGAGGCTACTTGCTTTTGTGAGTCCAGAACGGATTTTCTCCTTCTTACAGTTGTGATCTGCCCAGTGTTAACGTCAATAGTGAAAAAATAAATAAAATCATCTAAATAAAATTACTGTACTGAATTATATGATTTGTCAGTGCATTCTGATATATTGACTTGAAAATGATTTCAAGCTTTGGATGCTTCAGATGAAATTGAAAAGCTTATAATGTGTCTAGGCAACTCAGGCATTTGCCTTTAAAGGGAAAAGTCTTGTATTTTTTTCAATTTGGAGGCTGCTTAAGAACTGTGAGTTGTACATTTGATGCATGTGATGTTAAAATGGTATCCCTAAGGTCTTTCAGTGGCCAAAAGGCAACTACCTAGACGGTGCGAGTAAATTTAGTGAAGGCTCTGACGTAGATATAGAAGGGAGATACTTTCCATTAATTTAATTGGGTCTGAGACTGTCATGTCAATAAGGTCGCTATTTTCTGCAAAATTTCTGGTACTTTTTTTCTCCCAACATATCAATCTTTTTATCAGAAGGACTTTGATATCACAAAAGGCTTGTTTTAAGGTCACTATTTCTGAATCCATTTTCTCACACTTGTCTCTGAATGTTCCACTCCGGTTTTTTTGCTACACCATCACCCCACATCCAGACAAATTATTGATCATCATCGTGCTATTTGCAAGTCTCTTCCAGAGATAAAAATAAGTAGTTCCAGCTCCGTTTTAGTGTTGTTTCTCGGATAACAAAGGAGAAGGTATCTATATATGGCAGAGGAAAACTCATGCATGTCATTGAAAGAGATGGCAACTTTCCCATTGCTCTCATTTGTAGGTCTGATCTTGGCAAAAAATCTATGATTTTTTTTCTTTAATTGCAAAGCTTTTATGCGTTTTAGTTCTACCTTGCTGCGCAAGATAAGCTGTGCAATTCTAAAACAACAAACTGTGATTCTCAATTGAATTATTTACTCTTTCATAATATTCCTTAAAAACCTCCACTGAAATCAAGGCCTCAGTGGTGGAAGGCTGTGTACAGACTTGTCAAGTGAGGGTTTCTGCCTGGAGAAACCTGGGCTAAATAGGTGAATGGAAAAGACTGAAGACATAACTAGTCACAGAAATGAGTAACCTGGGAACGATTCTTGTGCCTTCTGGCTGAGTCTGTAGAAGAGTCATAAGATAACACTTAAGTAAGTGAAGTCCTATGTTTTGTAACTGGTTAGTATATTACAGAAAGGATTTGTTGTTTTTCTTAATGCAGTGTTTGAAAAAGATAAATTAAGTCAGGTGAAAGAAAACTTAGTTTTTTTTTCCTACTTTTTTTTTTTTTTTTTTTAAGTGTAACCCTGTCCATTTGCTCTGCTGTCTGTTGCAGAGTCCTTTTATCCAAACTGGCATGGGAAGCGTGGTGTCAGCAGTGCTGTGGTATACTTTGAATTTACTGATTTGTACAGAAGACTGTGCGCATAACATAGGGAGCAGATTTTGTACTGTATTGGAAGTAATGGGAGTCAAAAAGTGGTAGATCCAGCCACTCATGCATGGCATGGCACTGGTGTCCCGGCTTCACATGTGGTAGGAAGGAACTGTAGAATAAAAATGGGAAAGGTAACATTTGGAAACAAGGAGATTTCACTTTGGTACCGTACTGTGCAGCTAATAAATAACAGTAACGCAGTGCCATCCACTTGCGTTGTCAAGAGCCCCATAGCTCACAGGTAGCTATCAGAGCTAATGCATTCCTCCCACTACAGTGCTGTCTGCAGACCAGTTTTACAGTCCCACAGCACAAATTACAGTAGTTCCCCAGTTCTGTTTAATTACATGCCAGAATCATCATGAGGTGTGTCATGGGACTACGGGACGTTCTCTTTACTCGCTTGTTCCTAGCATGCAATGAAGAGGAAAAATAGGATTTTTGTTTGCAGAAAATGTTCATGACCAACAGTAATTTTGCATTGAAGTTGTCTTGCTTGTTTTGGAGTGGACACTGCTATTAATTCTTTTTGTTAGTATGTATGTGGAAAAAAAAAAAAAAAACAGAAAAGGAAAAAAAAAAAAGCCTCCTCAGTGGATACAACTATTTCAGATCTGTTAGTAATATTGCAAAGGCAGCCAAGCAGCCAACACCATCAGAAGAAGCCGTTCTCTCCTTTGTTGGAATTAACCATATCTCCAGATAGATGAGCTTCTTATTAAATGAAGGATGTTGTTATGCTGCTAATTCTGAATAGCTTTTTTTTTTTTAATCTTTCTCCTTTTTAAATCAGACCTTGGCTAAATTGTAAAGAAAGATAAGACAGTTACCTGAATTATCAAGGGGTACATCAAACCCAGAAATCACTTGCATCTTTGTTTTTAATCAGTGGGTATTTTCCATGGCTTCTTTGCGATGATCCAGCACAACTTGTTTCATTAAAACAAACACTTACCACATATTTTAGCATAAATATGAAGTTAATTGTGTGTGCTTAGGTGTGCTAAGATGGCAATTAATGGCCATTTGCAATACTGTAATTTAAGTAAGTCAAGCTTCTTGGTAAAAAGGCACCTACCTTTGTTCTGCTTTGAGATTTACAAGCTAATAGGCCTGCAAGTTGATTGTCAAAGACCTGGAAAGGTGTAATGAGGAGAAACTGCTATCCTTTCTAAAACATATAGGGTCTGTACAATCGATCAGGTCTTCAGATGACTTAATTTTTAACACAGGTTAGCAAAGTGCATAACAGCTGGTGTAATATTAACTGCATGACAGCTGGAGTAGCAGTGTTCCCTGCATGTGAACTGTTTCTTTACTATTGGGTATGACTCTTTCCAGATGGGGTCTTTTCCTAGGGAGGGCTGTTTTGAGTTTGAAGGAAAAAGTTAATTTATCTGCAGACAAGCAAGAAAAATCTATCTTATTTGCAGATGTACAGTTATACTAATGCAAGCTTCTGCAGGGTGTTATGCCCTTTACAGCTGTATTTCTTTACCTCTCATATAGAAAAAGTATCTACAGAAAATACTGGATAAATATGTTCACTACCCCAATTTCAAGTTGCGTATCATTCTGCGTATATCCAGCAAAGATAAAGATAAAGCTTTGGGCAATAGTGTTTTATGACATTATGAAGTGATGCGCTTAAAATAAATACATGATTGTCCAGCCCCCCTTTTGAGGAGGAAGACCATAACCCTGTGGCCAGCCCCAAGAAAAGACTGAAAATATGAGAGCGAATGCTGACACGTTCCAAGGTGCTTGAAAAACAAAGGGAAAAGAAAAAGTTGATCTGCTAGCTGTGAAACAAGTCGGTGCCTTTTCAAGGTAACACTTCAGCGCTCTTTTAAATCGTCAGTGCTTACTGAGCATGATGTTCCCACAAAAGAGAAAACAAATTTAGAAAAGCTGGGGTAGAACATTGTAAACACTTAATGCATTAGTCAGGCGCTCGACCACAGATCAATTTAAATTTTGTCTTTTGGGATTTTTTTTTATTTCAGTTAGTACTGATCGTTTCAGAAGTTTAGAATATTTAAGCTTATTTCAAGATCATGATTTCTGAAGATTTCCATAAATAAGAAATATAACTATTTAGGGTCATTCTTCTAAAACAAAAAATACAAGTTTTTTCTGAACTTGCTTCGTGTCACTTAAAAAATAATCCTAAGTTTGACCATGGGGAAAACAAACAACAATTTTGGTGTTCTTATTCTCCCTGTGTACATAAAGTCTAGTACAGTACACATATTTACCACATGCTCAAGGGTTCCCCCCCCCCCCATAGAATTCATTGTTCTTTATACATAGAGCTATCTAAAAGGAAA